ATATAAAATTGGACACTCTTCCAAAATGGATGGGGTACTAACTAAAATAAAGTTTGAAACAAAAAAATAAAGAAACTAAAATTTTAATTCATTAAAGCATCCAAACTACCAAATTTGAGCGCTATAGTTACAGTATCCAAAATGCCAAATTTGAGTGCCACAGTTAAAGCATCCAAAAAAACCAAATTTGAGTACCACAGTTATATTGGTTAGATCAAATATTCAATTATTCAATAACACTAACTAATTTAAAGATATTATGATTTCAATATTTAAAGCTTTGGTTTTTATATTTACGTACCAAATTTTGTAAAACAGCTAAATAGCCTGAACAGATTATTATATGTCTTTTTATTTTTTTAATTATTTATGTAGCTGTCAATAATTTTTTTCAAAGGTTTGAATTAAAGAAACAGAAAAACTAATAAGTGTTCAAAACATGTAAAAAAAAAACAAAAAAAAACATTTTTTTTAATAAAATTCATTATATATATTTAAAGGATTTTATTAAGCTTGCATTAAAATTTAAATAGAAGTACTAGACTAATCAAATAATTTATCAAATTGTATATTAATATCTTCTATATCTACCCAAATATTAATATGATTGTCAACAAATAGTTTGCTTATAACTTGCTCAGGTAAATAGTTTTTACTATTGGGATTTAATAAAGACTTAATAATAAATTATTTTCTATTTGGTGGTCCATTTGGAAATATATAAGCAAGTAGATTTTGGAAAGTCATATCCTGAGTAACATGAATATTAGATTTATATAGAGACTTTTTTTTGGTATAGATCATTACAGAATGAAATGTCAGAATAGTAATATTTGCTACCGGAATAGAATCAGTTTGAAATATAGAAGCAAAATGATTTGTGGATATAAAATCAGCTATAAATTAGTTATAATATAGATTTTTATTTTTTTATTTTTAAAGTGAGGCCTTGCTCATATCTTTATTGAGTAATTTATATAAGTAATTACATAGTATTTTATGAAGAACTTAATTTGTA